GATGTAAGTCCCCAGCTGATGTGTGTGGTTTGTCTTCCCTGACATCACCTCCTTCTGTGAGAAGTGTGTTGTGCATTACCTGGGGGCTGTCACACTGCCCTATGGGTGATGTCCATCCGTGTTCACAGGCCAGACAAGGGCTGCAAAGATCAGATAAAACGCGTCAGGACATCGTGTGTGCATTAGTGCCAGGGCTCTTCAAAAATGGAGAGAGAAGAGATTTTTAAGCAGATCATCCTTCAGCTGATGCTGCTGACAGCTCTAAAGAAGAGAAGTTGCAGATGAAGAAAAGAGAATTATAACTAATGATGAAATAATGACTTCCCCTTTGGGTTCTAACTTCTGCTGCCTTGGAAGTCAGTGGCAATCCCTCTGGCTTTTGGCTGTTATCCATCGACACGACAGGTCAAGCTATCAGTGTTGTCTTTAATTAAGAAAATATGCCCTGACTCCAGCCTGCTTTACGGCCGGCGGTTACATGTGGGGTAAGACCTGACCCCATCAAGGACACATATTAACCCTGCTTTCTGCCTGTAGTGTTTCACCTCATAATGTGTGACATAATTCTCGTATTCCTGTAGCCAGTCATGTAGTAGCCTGTTATCTTGCTTGCAAACCATACTTAAGCTAAACTCAAACCTGACTCTGGGCTGTTGATGCGAAAACTCAGATTTCCTCAGCTTGCTTGAGTCACAAATAGTCTGTGTCCTGAACTCCTTGGTGCAGTCTTCTGCTGGTCTCTTATCTGCAACACTTGTGGGCCAAGACCTCCCCATCCCTGATGTCATTCCCTGAAGCTCTGGGTTGGAAGAACTCCTACAGGTCCAGATTCTAGGCTCTCTTCATTTCCTTTAATGTATTGCATCAAATTAGCTAATCTTTGCCTGAATTAGTCTCTTTTGCACATTTTTTAAATGCCACAAACATCAATCAATACCCACAGAAAATCCCCTGCTATTTAATTTCTTTCCCTGAATTTGTTCGTCTGAAAGGCTCTCGATCTGTTTTCAAAATATGGAAGTCAGAGTCATGCTGAATGGTTTGTGGCTGCATGTGGTGGGCTTTCTCTTTCTAGCCCTTAATCTGTTTTCTTACCGGCTGTTACCTGACAGTGAAACCAATGGCCTCATATCTGGGGCTTTTGTGTGCTGTCCTCTTCTAAAATAACTTTTTTAAAGTATATAAAATACAATTGCTGCTGTGAGAAACGGGTCTCCAAATGTGTATGTGGCTCCCATGACCAGTATAGGGTGGCTCCTGGTTGTCGGAGGCCTTCCTTTTGCCACACAGCCATTGGGAGGCTCTGGGTGACAGGCTTGCAAGGTCTTCTTGGGTGAAAGAGGTAGAAATACAGTAGACATGGAGGGGCCAGTGGGAGAGGAGAAGGAAGAGCAAAGAGCAAGAGAGAGTGATGCTACGCAAAGATACTCAGTGTGGGTGAGAAGGTCTGTTTCTTGCGCTAGTGTCTGGGACATTGAGGTCTGATGAAAGAGCAGAGCAAGATGGCCTTGTGAGTGTCCCAGGTGTGCTTTAGTTTTACCTGCTGTTTCCTTCTGGGTTACTCCATCATCACACACTGAGCCTACTCCTGAGACTCAAAGGGTTTTTCATGCCTTATGCAGTGATTAGGTGAGATGATCTCCCAGAGTGGATAATTAGATGAAGTGAGGAAGTTAGAGCTGAGAGCCACTGGCTGGTGATTACCCATTTCTATTCAGTTCTTCCAATAGATTTATTTTAGCTTGGGACTCAACTTACTATACTTTCCTGTTTAAAATACAGGGAGGTAAGAAGTTATAATTTCATACTTAATCCAGAGGAACTGGTGTTTCAGATGTAAAAACTAGAGGCCAAGAATATTTAAGAGTCCTTGAGAAATCAACATAAAAAATTTAAAGTACATCCAGGACTCATACATTGATTACCCAGAATTCGATTTCGCGATTGTCTAATTTGGACCTTTTTTTTTTTTTTTTTAAATAAGAAAGGAAAGGCAAAAACAATTTATTATTAAAGTACCATTCTGATCTCAAATCTTCCACCAGGTGAGTTATCACATGATTTCGTAATCCTTTTATTCATAAATTCATGTTTGTAAACCTTCCCCTTTATTTTCTAGATCCTATGAAGCAGGATACAAAGGAGGAAACAAGACTACTTTAGGAAAATACACTTAGAAAACTGTAAGGAAGAATTGTGTCACAATGAACAGTGTTTCTACAGGCGATTCAATTTTTTGTATGTTTCCCAGTTAAAAATACTGTTTGAAGGGCCAGCCAGATAGCTCAGCAGACTTAAGTGCCTGCTTAGGCAGACGCAGGGGCTGAGGTTCGATCCCCCATGTACCATGCTGGCCCCGTCCCAGGGGTGCACTGAGACAACGATTGAGATTGAGACTGGGCATGGTGGTGTGTGCCTGTAATCCCAGTGCTTGGGAGGCTGAAAACAGGAGAATCATCACAAGTCCAATCTGTGTAGTGAGACCCTGTAGACCCTGTGCTAAATAAAACAAAACAAAACAAGACAAAAGACTGTTTGGCTCTAGGTGATTCATAGTGTACCTACAATGCAATTGTTAGTGTAGCTATCTGCTGTAATAGGTGAATCTGCAACGAGCAATGACTCAGGTATGGTGGAAGTTGTTTTCCGCACTCAAGAAAGTTTCAAGATGACAGAGCAAATCTCCTTGTTGACCTTTGAGGTCAAGTTTGATCAAGGGGATGCTGTTGCTTTCAGCTCATGATGTCCATGAGCACCCTGGGTCTGCACCTACGCTGCCCACGCAGGAAGCAGCACGGTGGAGGTCACGGACCAGGCTTGCAAACAGCTGGCCTCACTTTTGCACACATTCCTCTGGCTGGAATTTTCATGCTACTAAGGGGTAGGGGCTGGTCTTTCTGAAGTGTGGCACAGTTGTATGCGCGGGAAGAAAAGGAGAACGTGGGTTTTGAGGGCTGTCTGCTATTGCTTTTTGAAGATGCAATTTAGTTTTCTTCTTTACTTTTCTCCATTGTTTAATACAACACATTTTAATGTAAAACCAAAGGATCAATGTTTTATATACTACAATTTCTCCAGAACATCCAGAGCAAGGGATGACTTCATATTCCCATAGGAGTTCAACACTGCTGATTAAAAACAGAACTATTTAGACAACTGCTGGGCTTTTTTGGTTTTGTTTTGGAGACAAGGCCTTGTTATGTAGTCCAGGCTGGCCTCAAGTTCACCGTGTAGCCCAGGCTGGCCTTGAACTCGCAGCAATCCTCCTGCCTCAGCCTCCCTGGTGCTGGGACCACAGGTGTGTGCCACCATTCCTGGCTAGAAACCTGTTGAGCTTTTGAGGTGAACATGGCCTCTGCTTGGCTGAATAGTTCAAGATTCCTTACAGGTTAATGAACAAGGTGGCTAAAATTTGGCAAATCGTGTCCCAGGCTCTCACAGATACACTGACCAGCTGTACCCTTCATTGCTTGCACCTGCCTTTTTCAGAGCAATAAACTTCCTTGCCTGCCCTCAGATCACCCGCACAGCATGCCATGGGGTGATCACATGGAGAGGCTATGCAGGCAAAGCATCACTATCACCTGACATTGGCTCTTTGCACCATTTCATGCTCCCAGAATAAGTTCTTCCTCCAGGGGAACAACAGGCGACTGCCCATCTTGCCAGGCTAGGGTTGTTCCCTCCTGCTCGAATTCACCTTTTAAGTACAGAACTCTTGCTGTGTGTAGCTATGAGGCACTCATATGTTTCCAAAATGATTTTACTACACGCATAAATTCATTTAATCTGCACCATTACGCTGTCCCATGTTTTTGCTTGGTTCCTGGTCCGATGCTGGGGTGTTGGGTATGAGTACTACACCTGCCCTGGGGCGAGTAGCCTGAACACCACGTAAGGAAGGGAAGGAGGCACTGTCTTGTGTCTCTCTTTTGCTCTCCTTGCTTTTACTGCTTTCTACCACCATGAACTGTTGCCCTCTGCCATGTGCCACCCTGCCTTGATGCCAAACCCTCCACAAACTGTAAGCTAAATTAACCTGTCCTTCCTTAATTTTCCGCCTTTGGGTAGTTTGTCTCAGCAATGAGAGAAAATTAACCCACACAGTTACCAGCATGTGACCCACTTCCTCCCAGAGCCAGAGAACATCAGATCTGGGAAACTGTTTAGCAAGGCAGTCAGATTTCTCTGATTAAAAACAAGAACTACAACACAGTGATGCCACTTAAGATTTAGACAGAATTTTCCTTACCTGGACAGCAAAAGCAAGAGAACAAAGGTACTAGTCATCAAAGTAATCAACATTGAAAATATGTATAAATGACAATAGGGTTTTTTTTTGTTTGTTTGTTTTACTTTTCAGAGAACCCCCCAATATCAAAACAAGATAATAGGGGAGTAACAATGGTTAATATATGGTGTATTGTTATCTTTAATTAGTTATCGAAAGTATAAGACACAGACATTTAATTGTCCAGACAATATTAGCACCAACCTTTCTTTTCAATGAGCTAAGAGAAATTAGCTGTAGGACTACCTTAACGATCTTGCCCAACACAGGATTTGAATCAGTGAAGGAACACACAGCACGATCCACTCTGGAAACACCTGATAGTTTCAGTTGCAACTTTCACTCCAAATTAATATGAGAACTCGATAAGATGATTTAAAGTATTATTATATATATATATTTTTAAAAAATGGACAGAAGGGACTACAAAAACATTTGCACAACATGATCTTGTCTGACCAGGAACAGGCAGGGCTACTGTTGGATCATCAGAC